CGAACTGCATTGCTTCATGCAGCTGATCGTCTGCCGTGGCATCGCCATCGGAGGTTACCGCCGTTATTTCATCTCATCTTCCTCGTATCGCTAGGATGCCGATCGACACACCCTAGTCCGATCAAATTGCAGCGCTTGTCAACGAACGATGAACGACCCCCGGCCATCCAATCCACACTTCGATCGCTCAACCAGATTTCGAACCGTACTTCAGCTACGCCACTGCAACATAGGATTTCCAGTTCGTTGCACGCGACAGCGAGAAAAATTTCACTCGTCCCCTGCCCTAAGGAGATAGAATATGCAAAGGCAGCCGAAGACATATCAGCTTAAACGTAACAGACTTTGTCGCAGCAACTTTAACGAAAAGTCGATACACATTGTTCGCTAAGCTGTACGCTCGATACTACGACTGTCGCTGGTCATTCGCTAAGAAACTCAGCTAGTTGTGTCGCAAGTAATCCATTAGTAGTCGCTTCCGGATATGTAAAATTTTGTCAACAAAAAACCGCATTACACGAACACATGAACTGCCATTAATAAAATAGGACCTGTTTCAGTGATATTTCCATAAAAATTCACAACAGCATGCTATCGTCCATCGGCTGTAGTGTAGTCACCGTTGTTCGAAAAATGCAGAAAGTGATTCGGTTGGCTTGAGACCACGACGACCTTGCGAGAGTTCATTAGGCAAGGCATCTTGGAGGCACGCCGAGCACGATTAAGAATTACTACGGCGACGAGAGCACTATATTCCATCACAAAGTTGGCACGTAAGGATAGTAAGAGGTCTGCCGAAGGGTGCGACAGGGTGTTCGCCAGACTTGGTGACGCCAGGTAGCGTCGCTGGAAGCCAAGCACGTCACGCACGCGTCACTGGCGGGTGACACTGACGGGCACTTACCGCATTCACTCCAAATCTGTTGTGATTCTGCTGCCTCCTCGATCGGAATATCGATTACACCAGCAAGGCGGCGTTCGCTTCGGGGACATCGCCAGGGTTTCATCTGTTTAAAATTCGAAATGAGCCGCCACTGCTATCGCCGAGTCCACACAGGCGCATCGACCGGCACGATGACAACAATGATGGTCGGTCATTCAAACAGACACATCGCCAATCAATACCAGACGAATCAGCAATACCCTTACCTCACAAGTTTCGATCCCCGAGACCCGGAGGTGCTTTTTTCACCGCAGACTTGAACGAGAGTTCACGAATCTTCGGTGAAACGATTTTTACATCTGCTCGAATCTGGACAAAAACGAAGATCATCTTCTGCAGCAGTGCATCAACGACTGATACCAAAACCCACCGATTCTGTCGCAGCGACGACTTCGCACTGAACCGCCCCTCGATCGTCCTACAAGCGTCGGCCAAAATTCACGGCGTTTCCACAAATTGCGATGTTACCGACTAAGCAACCGGCCAATCGTAGTCCTGTTTCGGGTGCCCCGAAAGAAAATATCGTACAACGCCACAATTCGAACCGACGCACACGCAGTCACACAATGCATATCGAACTACGAAGAGTTTTCGAACTACAAACAACCGATCACTTATACAACCGAGCCAACTGAAGCGACAGTGACAACTACTTCGTTCGCGCCTACTTAGCGACGTCGCTACGTTTTCCAACTCTTCGGCCAAAAAATAAGTTTCGGACAACTGCCTTAGTTTACTTCCGCTTACTTACTATGACTTCGTCATTCCCATGGAACCATTAACATACATTCATAGACCAAAATACCGATTATTCCTGAGCGACAGACAAATAGCCAGCCCATCACTTGCGTCGTTTCCTACAAAGTCAGATCATCAGGTTCAAGAAATTTTTGCCGTTGGTATGCCTTGACTAGACGTCGATAAACAGTCGGTAAAGCTTACGTTTCTGTGATAACCGTTACATGTTTCTGCATAGAAAGGAACCAATTTATAGAAAATTCTTGTACAAATGCTAAATTACATGGGGCGCTGATAAATTATCCTATTTTTAGCGTCGATTTCGAAGTAATTCCTTTCCTGGAATGGTACCTTAACATGTTGAGAGTGTATCTGTACCTCGTTGACCCTATGGGTGTTGCGACTGGAATATAGGAGATTGCTTCTGGCACGATTTCTCATGTAAAAACGACCGATTAGTCTAGTCAGAGAATGAGTCTTAACATAACCTTAGCCACAATCTTTTCAAATTCTCACTCCGCATCGACCTAAACTCACCTAACACCCGTTTGATTCTTCCGCTCAAAAATTAAACGATGTCCCTCGGCGGTGTATACGGACCGTTAGCTTGACCATGGGTTTCTAGCGTTGTGCTCGCTTTCCGTTTGGAACGACAATAGGAAAAATGTAAAATAGACAAGTGGCTTCAGAAGTTGTACGGAATTCGGTTTGACTAGCTGAACAAAATCATCAGAAACTGGAACATCTTTTGGATTGCCAGAAATAAACCGGAATTAAGTTACAAGGCCCTAGCACATTTATTTTTCTTATGTTCATAAGGGTCGTTTACATGAGCAGACAGTTCCTGTGTTGTAATGTCGCTATATCTTAAGCTTTTCCTTATCTATGCGCTGAACGACTAGCATATCGTAAAATGAAGGTTCCAGCGTAAATCTCTCCGTTTTATTGATTCATGTTACGGAAAGGAATGTCTGTCTTCTTTATTTTCATTAAGGGGCCATTTCTGGGTCTGTTCTTTCCATGAAATTATTTGTGGCGTGTTATTCTTCATTTCTGTGCCATCCGCCAAGACTCCGTTACTTTATAAGGCGTAGATTGGGTAGCGGCTGCTTGACAAGCATAATACGTAGTTTCCTGTTTAATCCCCACTCATTTAAAATCCTCAGTTTAATCACCCGACCGGAACTCGAATCGAAGACTTTACGGTTTTGAGTCCGACGCACTATCGACTGACCAACCTAGATCCGTGCGTTAAACGCAATCGTTCATGCTGGTTGACGGCCGTGGTGTCTGTCGCGTTTATGCTGTCACACAGTTACCAGTTAAGGCTTAATGCTCAAATAATGTCTAGCAGAGCCAATCTCTACATCCTTACAGCCACTAGAGTACGTGCTGAAGGAGGTAAGTATGGTTTATTGCATAATCCAATAATTTACATTTATTGTGTCGAAATTAGCGCTGTTCAACCATCTTTACAAGCCTTTCGTTAGAACGACAACCCTCTATGCAGCATAGGAATACTGACCTAACGGAGGCAAGGCACAGACTCTTTTGTGAAACGTACAAAGTGGAAACGCATTGTGTGAGATGGTAGTTTCTTCTAATTTTCCTGCTCATTGTCAAGACAGATTGCTGGCTTGTGTACTGTTAGTCGTACTGAAACCACATCAAAACGACTTATTGCACTAACACAGTATTACTTAATTATTACTACACATTTACCAAGATGATAAACCACAACAGAATGTTATACATGAATCTCACACAATCACGTTTATTCCGGGTAAGATTTTTAAATGTTCTCCCAGACCTGTGTGGACTATAGCTAAAGCTGTTTGAATTGGATGATTGTATTCATTAGCTCTAAATGATCACATCGATAAAGCAAAGCAACATTCAACTCGTTTATTTATGCAATTTCATTTTCAAGATATCGATTCACTTCAGTAAAGAGTACTTGTAAACCGGTATATGAAAAGCAAAACGGAAGCAGAACTGAAATAGACAATAAACTAACGCATTCATAAAGCGTAATTACTACTGATATTAATCTGTGGTTCAGTTCGGAATGCCACATAAGCAATAAATAGAATAACACAGATATGTTTGACAGCACAGCCTGTGAAAATACGAGCGCGCGCACGCAACCACGGCGACGGCAGAAATCAAGAGACGGCGAAGTTGTGACTATTTGTCTTCAGGGCCACAGAAGAACAGCTTTCTAGGAGAATATCTGGGATTTTCCGGCATTTCCGTAAACGATCGCAAATCGTAGCTTTCGCTGTCCTGCTGCCCAAATTCCACATTTTGACCGCCGACTGAGTTCAGATTGAATGCGTCTAGTTCCGACTTGCGCGAGAACAGCATCCTGATGTCTGAGTGTAGGTAGATTTTTCTCGATCGCGAACTGCAAAAGCTGGAAACAAAATCGATTTGCTTTTCGGTATAAACATGCAAACGAACGACAACAGATACGTGGCCACACGCGACTTACCGTAAGTGAATAAGATACCTGAGCCAGCTGCGATGAGCGATAACGTCGTCGAGGGTAGCTTTGTAGGGCATAAAATAAGTGCGCTGTCTAACAAACGTCTGACAGTAAGGCGGCATGTCAGACAAGTTGTACTGAACTATGAACATCTTCACTACTGATCCCTGGGGATTGAATACAGTCTAGAAACAGTCAGATGTTAAACGAGTCACTGGTGAGAATAACTGCAAATAAACTTATCGTCGTTGTTCTCCAACACACATACAACTTAGCAACGTCTATTCTGAAGTAACAAATCGTATTGATAGCACTTGTAAAAACCACAAGCATCATTTCTCTCCGTTGCAAGGCAAATCGACCTTTCAGCTTCATCTAATCCAAATTATTTCACGGATTCTGAGAATCTCGACAAATCACCTGGGGTACCACTATGGAATATAACGTAAACAGGTACAATAAGTATATTATGATAGAAGAAAAGAACGAAATCGGGGTTACACCCTGCGTTGTAATTTTACTATTACACTGGATAATCACATATCAGGTGGGTCAAGGTGAACTGCAGCCGTCCGCATCAGATCAGATGGCTACACCTTACGCCCATCCTGTTATGGTCACTCCAGAAGACCATGCTGCTCTTGCAGTTCACAAATCAACGACTTGCTACCGTTTCTCGGCAGTTTGAACCGAAGCAGCGTGTGAGTCGCAATTCCTTGCTTAACGGAATAGCAATTAAAAAAATTCCATTTTAGGGATTAGAGCCTACTATTCTGAAGTTCGAAGCCTAACTTTTACTACTGTATTGCCGTGCTCCTATTACGCGTATGTTAACGAGAACCTACTGCGGGAAACCCAGACATGTCATGCTGTGTATTTGAACACACAGCTTACGTTCTGATGTAATGAAGAAAAATAAGAAAAGCAACATGACGTGAGACTCCTTAACCGTAGAAAAGAAATTTCATTGTTACGCTTTACTGCCGAAGAATTTATTTACATGTGCAAGTTAGGAACAGAACAGCTGATAGTAGCAGTAAGTAAAACTATTTATAAAGGTGAATTTCCAGGTATCAAAGAAACAAATTTCTGTCAGTAATGAGAATCTTTTCCATTCAGACATGTTAAAGAAAAAATGGCTTGAAAAATCTTAGCAGCAGATCAAATGGGCGTGTAGGACAGCATCGACATCGCTTATTAATATAACACGTCACTGCCCACCATACACAAGAACCGAGAAGAAAAAAGATTTCGGAGATTGACCAATTTAATAACCTTGATCCCATCATTTCCAGCCATAGCATTATCTAGCCAGAGTTAAGCAAGAAGACTGCCCCAGTGTATAGTGCTTTCGGAAACCTGTCTAATATTTGGATTAAGAAAAGAGTATCTCCTGCCAGCAAAATCCGCTTGTACACTATTCCTGTTAGGCCAGCGTTCTTGCATGCCATAGACGGTTGTTCTAACGAAGGAGCAGAAACGATGGTTGTGCTGCGTACAACAGCGTTGGTTTCAACGCATAATGAAGACTGAATGGCAGGACCACGTAAGGAATGACTCTATTTTTCTGGGAAAAGGTGACAGATGTGGAGATTAAGACAGGAGGTTGGCCATGATAGACTAATCAATAAAAATCATTTACTCCAGCCCGTAAGCTTCTTGTGAAGAAGTCCAAACCTGGCCAACATGGAACATGGAGAAACAAGGTAAAGGCAGATCTGCTATCGGAGACGAACAATTTCTTCTGAGGCGGTAACTGGTGCCTTATAGCAAAGTGCTCAAAAGCCGTGAATACAGTGGACATCACCAACCAAATAATTTCTGCTTCTGGATAAAAGTTCATGGTGCTAATCTGAACACACACACATTTACAAACACAATCCTGATCGAAAGTTTCTTTGTTGTAAAAGGTGGTGCTGTGACTCATTTCGCACGTTAACTATTGAACTGAAAAGAATTTTTAGTTGGTATAAACAGGTATTTAACTTGTCTGCTACTTAAAGTGTACTTCGTTTTTGTTGCTATTATTCTTTAATCTTGAAAGATATGACCACGTTTCGCATATCCAAGCAATAAATTAGATAAACAGCAGAAAACTATATAATTGGTGTGAGAAGAACCACGGAGAAAATTGATTTCGAGAAATTACTTTGACCGAACTTGTACATTCCTATTATCCTCCTAATGAAAAATGAAAGAGGGTACTGTTATTGTAGGGCGACTACTGGCAAAATACACTGATCAGACCTTTTAGAGGCAGAATAGCAGTATGCCGTGAGAACATTGCTTAGTTTTCAAAGCACTGTTTCAGGCTACGTTTTATTTTTTTCTACTTTTTACATATATCTGGTATTCCATTAGTGGATTAAGTTGTTGCAGACTACTAGGTAGACTTGTGCTACCATTTTCTAGACCTTCCTGTCATTCATGTAAATTTATTCAGTAGGTTTCCTGAATTTACTTCCGATGAAGCGTGACTGCTGGACACATATAAGTTTCTGAAATTTGCGTTTAATTTTGTTGCAGAACACTTTTTGAGTAGCAACTGGTATTCAGCTTTCCTTTTTTAAGATTTGCTACAAATATCAGGATGTTGTATGTCAAGTACAAACGACTTGATTAAAAGCAGTTCATAGTATACCTTAATTTTTAAAATTTTGTGCTGTGAACACTTCTAGGATAGCAGCAAAGTCTGTGGTCCAAGTGAATGCCCTTCTGGACTCATCCCTTGTCCCTGTTAAGTACGAAGAATGACACCAATGGCTTATTCGCTGTCGTGGTAACAAAGACTAATAAAATTTAAACATCAGATTTGCTTAGATGCCTGTATTGCTGATATCTGCTAAGGATGAAGTTCCAACCGAGATACTGTACGCTGTAACATATTATGCATGGCAAGCATTTCTGTCACTATCAACTGTTTTCTTATTCTGCACTGTAATTCAGTCAACGGCGCTGCGGCCAACGGACGGACACGCTGAGGGAACATCTGAATGATTTTCACTGTGCTCTTCGGTCGCCGCCAAATCAAATCAAGCCTAGCGCTGGCCTTTGGGTTCTTCAGGCAATGTCCTTACGCTGCTAGCCATCAGCAACTGTTCATCTCTAAGTACCCCGCTGAGTGTTGTACTCTAAAGATCCTAATGATTATGTTCATGTATGTCACCCTAATACTTTATTTCCAGAGGGCGTTTGTAACAACAGTCATTTACGCGGAGTCAAGAGTTTGCGTTTGCTTTCTCGTAGTGTGAAACTCAGAGAAGGCAGATTACCGAATCCTAAAAATTTTTGATCTCAGAGCTAGCTTAATGAACTGAAGTTGATAAATGGTGTCGAGCCCACTGTTAAATCCTGATTGTTCGACTCGCTATGTAAACATTTCTTGGGTTTCTCACCTTTCTTATACAATGAAAAGACTGAAGCGTCCCTTCTTTCTGCTATACATGTTACCGCCCAGAACGGTAATTCGTCAATACCAGAATAGGCTGCAGTTAATTCGCATGTCACTGCATACCGGTATAGGCTAATCTATACCGGAATGGGCTGAAACTAGTTTGGGGTTCAGTCTAAGCCAAGAATACCGCGGTTTTACTGGATTATTACTAGCCCACCTGGCTACCTAAGGCTCAGAGTTGTTGCCTGCATGTTAACGTCTACGCAGTGGCTTAGGTTTAGGCTGAGGCTTAATCCATAATACGGTAAAAACCAAACATTACTAGTAAAAATTGAAAAATATATTAGTTTTAGTCTATGTCGATAAGAACTGGAATACGAATTAACCTCACTGTATACCGGTATGGACGAAATGCTACTTTGGATAGTAACACAGAAGGATGCTGATCACTTTTTTTTATGCTAGTAGATTGCAAACAAGAACCCTAGCGTCTAAATCAAATGGCCCTGAACCGGTCAAATCTTCAGAGTCCCAACTGTAAATTCATTTTCGTAAAGTTAGTTTTAGGTGAAATTAAACGAATACGACTACCACTGAAACTGAAATGAACAGCATCTGGGAATACACGCGATGATGCTCAAGAACGTTAGAAACAAAAATCACAAACCACTTGAACGTTGCCTCGAGCAGGAATATGGTAGCGTCGCTTTCCAAGCTGCTCCAGGTTGCAGTGTCCCTAAAATTCATTGACCTTAAACGTGATCAAGACAGGAAAGACGAGTTTACGTAATACGGCAAAGGTGGACTGTCGTCGTAAGGGCTGAAGTAAAAGGTGGCAACGGCTAACCTCACGTGCGGCGGACAGAACGAGCCACTCGCACCCAAATCTGCAGTGAATCCGTCTATGACACTAAACGGCTGAATTCTGCCCTTCAAGGCACTTTCCTAAACAGAGTGATATAGACATGTAAAGTTACGGAAACAAAACGGAAAGAAAGCGATTTGTCAAAACAAATCAGCAAATTGCAGGCAATGTGCCTGTGACAGTTGCAAAAATTCTGTTTCATTAATCAGAGCTGAGAGAAACCAGCAAACAACCTCTTTTCCATTCAATAATCCACATTTTCTATTTACGACAAGAATCTTTTCGCTTTACTGCGTTTTGCTTTCTAATTCTACAGAGTGAGCAATTTTTCAGCATAATATGCAATATTTTTAGGCAAAAATGGTAGACCGTTACCCACTTTCGTCGCTTAAAAAATCAGTTTAAATCTGAGTGCAATTTTGCTGCCAGTCACTCAATTTCTATACCTACTTATCCTGT